CACTCCCTGTCCGTCCCTGGCTCGGGCCGGGTTGCCGATGAGCTTCGGCGCCTGCGGCGGACAGTGCGGGCCTTGCGGGAACCGGCTGAAGCGAGAGCTCAGGTAACGGAGGGGCCTGATCCCTGCGCTCCGCGCTCCAGCCTTAATCCGCCCTTGTTTCCATGGCAACAGACCGAGGTGTCGTAAGCACAGGATTCTGACCTCACAGTAGGATGGAGAAGGAGAAAACGGGCAGGGGGAGGTGGCCGAGAACGGGGAAGCGGTGCCTCCAGGTGGGCGGGGAGACACAGATGTAGGGGTGATGGAAGAGACCCCATAAGCAGGTTGGACCGGTGGGTGAAGAAACCACGCCTTCGCTGGGAGCGATAAAGGCTGTGCGATGGTCCCCACTCACTCAGGCTGACCCAGGATCCCGGGTTACCCTGTCGTGTCAATACAAACTTGTGTGTGACTTGTGCCCTCCACGTGGGTCGGTGCGGTGCCGAGGCGATGGGGACTGCCTTTCACTGTGGTGTGGGAACAGTCTCCCTGGCTGGTGAGAAAACCCTTCCCCGATGCACCCCAGTTCCGTGTCCCTGCAGAAAGGGACTAAAAATCCCTTCAGCAACCAGAGTGTCTGCACAGAGAGGGTGCTTTTTACAGAGCTGAGCACAGGCCCAAACCTGCGACGCTTGGGCCTGGAGCGTGCAAACTTGCCCCAGTGGGGAAGGCTTCCCAGGCCAGTTTTAAAAGGCCACCATGTTTGACTGCAGGTGTGTGATGGAGGCAGTAGGGAGGACTTGACATCTCATTTCCCCTTTGGCCTTTTGTCTTTTGGCACTTTGCAGTTAGAAATAAGCCATGAAGCAGCCCACACACTCGTTTAGATGGTTTAGGTGCTCGGGAGGCTGGAGCAGCCTCCAGAAGCCTTTCTCTCGCATCTTTGCTAGCCAGAGGCCCCGAGTGGGATGAGCCCAGTGCATTCTGGGGGCCATTCCTGGGGGAGGCTCTTACCTGCTCAAGAGGTGGCCCTGGAGGCTTGGCAATCACGTGTGTTTCCAGATAGGCCTATTTCCCCCTCCCTGTACCGCGTGGTTGATGGCAGATCTATCAAAAAGAGGTTTCCACCTGGATTGGCCTGAGGGAAATAGAGGAGAGGAGGCTGCTCTGTGGCCTGGAGCCTGCTGCTTGGACATTGTGTGGGCAAAGGACTTTTATTTTGTTTTCTTCCTGGGCAATTTTCTCCCTCTGCCCCAGATCTGATCCCTAGGACTTGTGTGTTTCACACACTTGCAGGACACTCAGATTCTCGGTGTGGACTCTAGGTATGTGTCCACAGCCAAAGGTGTGCCTGAGGCGAATGTCAAGGGAGGCGGCCATTGAAGTTCCTGCTTTTCGACATTGTTCTAAAGGCTCTAATCAAAAACGTTATAGGATGGGTTGCAGTGTCTCTGTCTGTCTGATGCAGAGCCCTGCATGGGGTCCTGCCCCTGAGGAGTTTCATATTTCAATTATGATTTGGAAAAGGGTTTGAAAGATGAAAAAAAAGTAGCCTTCCCCAGGTCCTGGGGAGAGAGGAGAGGAGAAAAAACCCTTACCTTTCTGCAAAGGGTAGGGCTCATGGTCTTGACAATGGAGTGCTTTGTGGAGTTGGGAGGCTCAGTGGTCTGAAGCCTCAGAGAAGGAGGAAGGTGAGAGTAGTGATTGGACCATGAGGGTCATCTCTGATTTCTGGTTGTCCTATTAGAGCAAGCAGGCTGCTGTCCGCTGGCAGGACATTGTAGGGGGTACTGCCTTGCATCTCCTAATGAAGGATTCTACTGGGCACAGCCCAACCCCAGAACAGCCCTGGGCTCAGTGGATCCTGCTGCTGACAGGGCTGGTAGCTGAAGGCTTTGGCAGCTGCTCTGCCAGCTTTTCCATATCCTGGCCTGCCCTGTAGAACCAGGGGTATAAAAAGTAAACCTCCGGTCAGAGACGAGAGGCAGGCAGGGCAAGCGAGGCCCCGAGCCACCCAGCACCATCCGGGAAGGAGGGGCAGCCTGCTGAGGATGTTGCTGAGCCAGAAGCGGCCTGCTTAAGGTCAGAATCTATGGTTTTCATTTTTAGAGCTATAAAAACAGCATGCAAATCAACAGCCTCTGGGCTAATCCAGAATCTTAAAGTTTTTTGTCTTGTTAAGCAAGGAAATAGAGTGCCAAATAGGCTTTGTTAAGTGGCAGTCTAATAAATAATTTAAAATCTTGTAGCTGTCTTTCATTAGAATTTATCTGTACATCAACCACAAAATCAGTCAAACACACTCATTTATAAGTTAATGCTACCCCTGAATAATTCAGCAAGCGCTAGATGAAGTCCTGCAACCCAGTAAGATGCGTTGTGTCCTTCTGGTTTCCATAGCCATTTGGGCTGGCCTGGTGGCTAGCTTGGGTCTCCTTTGTGGAAAGAAGGGAAGGCACAGGGAGCGCGGGACCATGGGGTTGTCAGATGCTTGGTTGATGTGAATCCAGAGGTTCCCTAGAAGATCAGAGAATCTCCATGTGGCCAGGTGTGAACAGGCTCCATCTCTGGGGCCACTTTAGTCCCAGTGGAGAGGGGAAGAGAGGAGTGTGCCATGGACAGCCAAGGCACACTTCCTTCTGTGCAGAGGACGTGGAGAGGGGACTTAAAGAGCCCTGCTTGAGAGGGTTGAGATATGAGGCTTCTTAGCCCAAGTCCAGGTGCAGAAGTGGAATTTCACTCTTCCCAGACCCGTTCTGTCCCACTCAAGGAAAGCAGCCTTGTGAAACATTGCCACCAAAACAGCTTCTTTAATTGGGAGCTTCTGGGATGCTGCTTTCCTCCAAGCTCCTGGTCCTTATGCCAGAAAAGAGAAGCCAAGAGGAGGAATTGGGGGGGGGGGGAGCACTAGGATATCTCAAGAGAAAGAAGAGGCAGAGTGAGTTGCTAACTAAAGTCCATGCATGCGTTTTCTTACTGGTGGCCAGAATAAAGACCAGGAAGGCAGTGGCAGCGTTCCATTTGTGAGCTTAGACCATGTAGAAAACGTGTTTCGGTTCGGTTCCTGCCATGCCAACACCTCACTGCAGTCCACAGGTCCATTTTCTACAGAGAAACTGTTCTGGACCCAAACTCCCAGCCTGGGTCCGCTGGCCCCTCCACTACACGAATGGATGAATCCCAGGGTTTCTGGTCTCCGTCTCAGGCGGCCAACCCGGAGCCCTCTGTGTATGGGGACCAGGTAGATATCTGGAGCAGACAGCAGACTTGATGCCAGGAGAGGTTCTTGGCCAAGTTTGAAAAGAGAAAGACTCGTTAGGAAAAGGAAAAGGCAAGGGGAGGGGTAGGTTTGCCCTCAGACCTGTAGCAGATTGACAGCAGATGGATCCGAGGAGGGAGGCTTGTGGGGTGAATCCAACTCCAAGCTTTGGAGTCAGGGCCTGAAAAAGGACAGAGCAGAAGTTCACTTGCGGGAGATGAGAAGGAGGGGGCAGGCATCATGAAGGATGTCAAGAACGGATCTGTTGGGTACCATCTGCAGCAAAGTAGTGGTTAAGGTTAAAGCAGAGAGGAGATGACAGGGAGGGAACAGATGGCCGAGGAAGCAAAATAGCTGGTGAAACAGGAACAGAGCCTCCAGGGACAGCAGAAGGCAGGACCTCCTCGCCGAGTGCCGGAAGCAGCCCTTTCTTCGGGGTGCACTGGCCAGACCACCCTGGGTAGAAGTGAGTGAGAGGGTGGGGACCTCGGGGTG